AGCCTCAGCTAAAGCAGGGAAGTGGCTGGAAGTGTACCAGCAGGGCTCCGAAGGACATTCTGTTCCTGGCCCCTTTCATGTTAGCTAGGCTGACGTTCACTTGAAGCTTTAAGTATTTTCATAAATTTGAACTTGCAACAAAATAAGCTAGCTCAGCTTAACTCTGCAAATCCCCTTCTGGTGTGGAGGTAGTGATTATAACCAGCAGAGTGACAGCTCTTCCACAGAGTACCTCCCAGATGCCAAAGTTTTTAGGCCCATCTGCAGACAGTATGCACCCAACTGGAGGAAGCTGCCAGATGCCTGGTGGAACCCATTGCTCCCATGTTGCAGTTCAGACAACTCAGTACTGTTTTACAGAGTGGCCTTTCTGTGTCCACTCAGTGGTAAGTACAGCACACATGATACACAATCCTTACAGCATCCTCCAAAGTGATGCTTTTTGGGGGGGCTAAAAGTTAAGGCCCTCCTCTGCTGTCTCTCGGCTATTACGTGTCACAGTTAGAGTTTGAACTCCGGTGTGGTTGTGTTTCTGTTAAGCTACCAACACCCCTCTTGACTGAGGTCTTAATGGCAGAACCCACTTCTGATTGTTCATCGTACCCTCTAGGCGGCCACAGTGAGTCCCATGGTGTTGACTGCCACGTAGCCAAGTTGAACTTGCTGTACCTTGAGGACTTTGAGCCTTTCCACTGGTGCCTCTGGGAGTCACTCTCCTTTGAATACTCTGAATGTCACCCTCCAGGGCTCATATGTCAACACAGTGGGTCAGGGGGTGAAGAGATAATGTCCTGGGTCAGATCACTCCAGCCATGATAATGTAATTCTTGTGGGTGTCTCCACCCTGTTCTGATCTCTTTCAAAGCTGAGGACATGCTGAGGTAATGCTTCCCAGCCTCAGAGAAGATAAAGCCCTGGGCACCTCGATGGGTGATCCAGGAACCCCTCCCTCTACAGCCTACATGCGCTCACACTGTCTGTGAGGGAGAAGCAGTGATGGGTATGTTTTAGCTGCTCCCTGGGGTGGGAATGAGAGGTGGATTTAAGGTAACCATGTTCCAGGGTGAAAGGAAGCAACTGCGTTGACCACTGTGTTCATCTTCTGTCTAGCTTTGGTTCAAAAATGTTCCTGTAAAATGGTGGGAGCTGATTAATCTCCCATCAGTCCATGTTTGGGTTAGATCACAGATTTCAGGATCTGCCCGTTTTCCGCTCTCAGTGCTGCTTTCTGCTGGGCATAGTGCCACATGCCTGCAATCCCAGCACTTGGGACTCCTGATCCTCCCACCTCATGTCCTAAGTGCTGGGACCTTATTCCCAAACCAGACCAAAAAGCTGCTTTCAAAGAGGGAAGACTTAATAGTATTAGCCTGTTAGGATTTCTATACTTAAGTGACAAAGACTGGCTAGCACAAGTAGTTTATAGGCAGAGAAATAAGAACAGTACATTCAGTTGGGTGAGGCATGTGGCATGTAGCCAGATGGAATGGTACATGCCTACAGTCTGGGGCAACATAGTGAGACCCTGTATCAAAACAAAACAAAAATGAGTCATCAAAGAAGAATTTAGAAGGGAGAGTGACTTTTCTTGGGTCACCCTTGGGTCTCTTGGGTCAACATGGAGCCTAAGTATAGAGAGCACTTGGGAAGCTGCAGCAGAACCAGATGGCTGTGACACTTGGTGCAGGCTCCCTCATGAGCCTTGATTCACAAGGCTTGACTAGCTTCACTGAGGGGAGTCGGCAGGAGTCATGTTGGGCTCTCTTCCTGCATGATTCTCCATGTTCTCTTAGGGGGAGAAAAGTGAGTGTCTTTGTCCTGGTCAGCAGCCAGAAGTAGGTACAGGGACCTTCGTGTAAGCTCTCTTCCCAGGACTTCTCTCTTCTTGAGTTGAGCAAGACCCTGAAGGCAGCCTGGGTGCTCCCAGGCCTCCTGCAGACACGCCCTACTGACATGCTCCACGTGACTGTGACTTCACCACCCCTGGGGCCTTGGCACATGGGTGTTTTTGTCCAGACCATGAGTGAAGACCTCTGTCAACGTACATGATTCCAGAACACAGCAGGAATTCATTGACCTTTTCCCAAACAAGGGCTGCATTTCTTCCTGTCTGGGTTCCTGAGTGCTGGCATCCTATGCTATGGGTCCTGGGTGCAGGCTGATTCATGTAGGTAGTTGCTATTATTGCACTCAGGTTGGCAGCTCTGGGAGAATAGGACTAAGGCTGATGTCCTTATCTCAGCAGTGCCTAAATCCATGCGGGGCCCAGGGCCAGCGCTTTATAAAGATATTCGGCCTTGGGTCATAGATATCTAACATCAGAGCTGGAGAAGATTTTGGAAATCATGCAACCTGGCACTCTAAACTCATACATGCTCCCACTCTAAAAATTCATTCTGGGGGGCTTATGCTTATCTGCTGTGAAGAGTGGGTTTTTTAACGTTAAGCCCTAGTGCAATTGGCCACAGTTCTAAACCTTTGAAAGGATGTTTCTCCTTGGATTAGTAGCTAAGAACAGTAAGAATGCTAACTGGATACCAGACCCCAAGCTCTATTGCTGATCCTTCCAACCCCAAGATAAAAAGTCGGTACTGTCGCCACTCCCCAGGGCAGAGGGAGGCTTAGGGGTGGGGTGGGTTGCCTTGCTCAGAGCCACAAAGCTCCCACAGAGTTCAAGAGCAGCCTGGCATTTAGCTTAGGCAGATGTTTAGGTCCATGGCTCTCAGTACTGTGGCGGCTCTCAGGTAGGCTGACTGCAGTTCCATGTTTAGTGATGTCACATAGTGCCTCACATTGTCCTAGAAGAACTGTAAAATAAATTCCCATTAACTATATTCTGTTGGTAACCATAGGGTGGTGGAAAAGGTTCGGCAGAAAAAGCAAACAGTGATGGAGAAACAGCTTCCAGGAAGCTCCGTGATCATGCCCTAGGTCGCATAAGTGTCTGAGTCGCGTGAAAGGATTGAGTGTTCCCATAGCTGGCACCAGGAGCCACTCCTACACATAGCATTGCTGTTTCTTCCTCTGTGTCCAGAACTCACCTGTCACTCAGGTCAAAAAACCTCGGAACTGATGTTTTCCTGGGAAGATCTGATCTGTGTTATGCATACCCAGCAGCCTTCCCTCCCCCAAGTCAGAATGAAAAGAGCCCCCAGATGGCTACCCGGTGTCCTGTGTCCTGCAGGCTGCCCGGTGTCCTGTGTCCTGCAGGCTGCCCGGTGTCCTGGGTCCTGTAGGCTGCCCGGTGTCCTGGGTCCTCCAGGCTGCCCAGTGTCCAGGTCAGGCAGGCTGTTTGTCTCCAGTCTTTCTATTGAACTTTATATCTAAATAACATTCCTGTGAGTTTTCTGAAAGGTTAGTCCTGGGTCATTGGCACGTAAACCACTTGTTTTGGTAGATCCTTCCTGAGAAGGTTAATTATATATTTGATACCCTTCTCTTTTTATGCCTGAATGATGATGATAAGTGCCGTGTGGTATATTAACTGTCACGTTAAACCTTTTCAAATTGTCTGGTGACAAAACAGGATTTTATGTCCTTTTTATCCAACTTTGATGGATGAGACAGCTTCTTTGGTTAAAGTATGCCAGGGTAAATAAAATCCTTCTCTGATTTGTGGGGGAGGGTGGGTTTGCACTTGAAGTCATGGGTTCAAGTCCACTGTTAATCTTTTTACCACTCCCTTCTCTTTTGATAAATGGGGCTGGGCACCTGACTGGCACTTGGTAATCATTGAATGAGTGAAAGAAGACATAGCTTCAGGGAGGTTGATTTCTCCTTTTTTATTGTTTATATCAAATGCAGTGCTTTGTGTCTGCTAGGAAAGCACTCCCACCTCTGAACTGTACCCTTAGCTGCCTCTCCACAGACTTTGATACCAAACCCTAGAGCAATAGTCTGACTTACTTCCTGTTTTGAGGCCAACTGATTCTTTGAACAGTGTTGTGTCCTTACTACCAAAGAATCGCAAATTTTACTTTATTGCTTCTCTCCCCAAGGCCATTTTGTTACAACTGTAACCTAATTTGTGTGTGTGTGTATTTTGTATGCTGTGTGTGTGTGTGTGTGTGTGTGTGTGTGTGTGTGTGTGTGTGTGTGTGTATATATATATTGTGTATGTCTACGTGTATGTGCCCATACATGCATGCAGAGGCCAGAGGACGTGGTATCCTGCTCTGTCATGCACCACCTTATTCCTTCAAACAGGTGCTCTCATTGAACCTAGAGATAGGCTGGCAGTCAGCAAACCCTGCTAATCCTGCTGTCTCTGCCCCCTGGCCTCAGCACTGGGGTTATAGGCTTATGCTAGGCACTGCCCAGTGTTTTACATGGGTGCTAGGGATCTGAACTCAGTCCTCATGCTTGCACTACAAGCATTTTTATCTGCTAAGCCATCTCCCTAGCCTCTACATCTTTAACTTCTTGGTAAATTTTCAGGGACATAGGTGGAGTAGCTCTTATCTGCTCTGTACTTGGGCACAGAAGTCTTTCAGATTTCTGGGGTTTCCAGCTTTGGAAATATTTCCATTTGTATAATGAGATCTTGTGGGGAGAAGACCCAAGGGTACACATCATTCACTGGGCTTCATATGCACCTCACACCCGTGGCCTGAGGGTGACTTCATACAGGTTTGCTGCACCAGCATTTTGACTGCAACCCCTCACATGGGGTCAGATGTGGAATTTTTCACCTGTGGTAGTATATCAGCACTCAGAAAGTTTTAGATTCAGAACGTTTTAGGTGTAAATTTTTTGGATTCAGGATGCTCATCCAATATTATGGAAGGTAAATGCCATGAGGGAGTTTGTATAGTGACTTTGCATTCTTGTTGAGAGCCCCTCTGCTGGGGCAGACAGTATATGTAATTCAGTTACTCCTCTGTATTCACTATTTACTGACTGCTAGCTAGGAGCAAGGCATGCTATTTATTTAAGACAATTAAAATAGTAAAAGTAATGCTGAGGCTTTAGGGTTCCTTTTTGTTTCCTCTCCATTTCAGTTTGCTGGGACATTATCAGATGGCTTGGGGAAGACGATGGACAACCGGCACCAGTCAGAGCGGGAGTACATCAGGTATCATGCAGCCACGAGCGGAGAGCACCTTGTGGCCGGCATCCACGGCCTGGCTCATGGTAAGTCATTTGAAGTTGGCCTGAGGAAGACTACCCCTCCTGCCATGGTCCTTCACACCCTTTGCATCCATTGGGGTACCAGGAGGAAAGGGAAAGCTGGGAGTAGTGGCGTCCTGGCCCAGGTCCTGGTGTACTTGCTGCTGCCACTTTCTTTGATCCTCCTTGCAGTGGGAAAGTGACGACTGGTGGGCAGCCTTGTTCCTTCTCGGGTGGCAGTGCATAGTGCAGCTCTTTTCTGTTCTTTGCTCCTATTCCCGAGGTACATCAGGTGTTAATCCACCAAACCTCCTTCTTGAATCTGGAGCTGCTGCTTTGAGAGGCTGCCTTGCCTTCCGATGTTCAGGGGTAAAGTGCTTGCCATGCAAACGTAGGGACCTGAGTTCAATCCCCAGCACCCACATCAAAAGCCAGGTATGGTGGTCCCTGCTGAGGCAGAGATAGGCAGATCCCTGAGAATTGCTGGCCAGCCAGACTAGCAGAATCAGGGAAACTCAGGTCCTAGTGAGAGACCAACTCTTTTTTTTTTTTTTTTTTTTTTTTTTTTTTTTTTTCTTACATAGCCCAGGCTGACCTCATAGCCTTGAACTTGTGATTCTCCTGTAATCACACCCAGTTTTGCAGTTCTTGGAGTCAAACTCAGGGCATTCTAGGCTAGTACTCTACCTACTATTGTTTTGTACAGAGTACCGCATCCCCAGCCTCACTTTTTTTTGGTAGCCAAAACTGGCCTTGAACTGCAGATTCTCTGCCTCTACCCCCTCTACAGGAGTGCATGCACACCAATGTGTGTCTGTGTTCTTTCTCTCTCCTCTCTTGCTCTCTCCCTTCCTCCCTCTTCCTATCTCTTTTTTAGATTGGCCTTGAACTCACAGAGATCCGCCTGCCTCTGCCTCCCGAGTGCTGGGATTAAAGGTGTGCGCCACCACGCCTGGCTTAGCAACCTACTATTAAAAACAATAGCAGCAGCAGTAAAAAGCAAGGTGGATGGCTTCTAGGAGCAATACCTGACCCCCGTACATATGACCTGCATTCTGCTTGTCACTCATTCCTTCCAGAGAGACTGAAATGTGAAAGTGGCTGCAGAGCTAAGGCCTTGATTAATTACAAGGCGGTGCCAGCTAACGTGTCATCTCTGACTTCTGGTATTTCAGTTCTCACCCATTTGCCTCTTTACTGCATTTTTTTCAGAAACTTCTAAGTGTGGCATTCAGAGTCTTTGGAAATACCATGCCAGCAAATTCTTTACCAGTGTCCCCTAACCTTTTGGCCCTTCAGCCACACAGAGCCAGGTGCTGCTCCCCAGACCTGTGCCAAATCCTTCTTCCCTCAGTCCTTTTGCCCCCCTCCACCTTTGCGACCTCTTAAGTTCCAACTCAGATGACATTTGCGAGCTCCAGTGCCCAAGTTGGAGTTAATGATAGCACACCTATGGCAGTCTCAATTGGTCATGGGCCAGTGTGTGTGGCTTGCTGTCAGGTAGACTGGATCCAGGAAAGCATAAGGCCATTTCAGATCTCCTGGCTCATAGCTCTTCCTTAAGTGATGGTTAGCAAGTTGAACTATTTGACCCAGATCCTAGGAATCCTGTGATGCTATGGCAGTCATCCAGACTGACCACTCATGATTACCTGCATTTGAAAGAATATAGGGGCATAGAGATAACAAAAATCATATTTGTTACATGCTTAACAGGCAGTGTGTATTATAGTGGGGAGATTCGGATGAAAATGCCTTTGCTTTCCCGAGGCTGCTCCACTACAAAGGGAGACTCCCAGGTGAGCATTAGGCTCTGCGAATGTAAAGTTTGGATGATTTAATCTATTTCTAGATTTTCCCTAAAAGTTGAGTTTGGGGTAATCCTTTGGGATCAAGTATTTACTCATTCTTTATTAACTGTAACAATAATATAGTAACTACTAGAGGGCTGTTTTAATCAAAATTAAATACTTTGCTATCAGTAATTGCCACCCTCTCTCCAGAGAGAAGTGGCTGGCCTCATTTTCTTAGATGAACACAACCATATGCTAAGAATAGGGGTGTTTTATTCAAAGTTGCAAAATCATCTCCAATCAAGGATCCTTCTGATGATGTGCACACCCACTCCAGAACCAGTTAGGCCAATCTAAGCCCAGAACCAGTGGCTCACCCCATCCAAAGAGGTGGTATCCCTTTCAGGAAGAAAAGACTCTTACATGGTAAGAAGCAGAACCCGTTCAGTCTTAGTTTAAAATGGAAGTCCTGGGGTAGGCACAATGGCTCAGTGGGTAAAGATACTTGCTGCCCCTGACAATCTCAGTTCTATTACTAGGCCCCACGTGGTGGAAGAAGAGAACATATGCTTACAAGCTGTGCTCTGACCACATACGTGCTGTGGCAGCTCATGTGCATGCACACACAGATAACTAAATGTCATAACAATAATAAAAAAGACTGAAGTCGTCCTTGCCCTGGATGCATCAAAGTGCATCTCTCAGGTCCTAGTCATTCTGCCTGGAACACTGTTCAAAAGGTCAGGACACAGATACTGCCTCCCTAGAGCAAATGAAATGAAAGAAATGGTGTGATTTGTTAGTACAGTCTCGCCCAACGAATCTCCTTTCCCAATTTGTCTCACTAGAGCTGAAGCGTGCAGAGAGCTTCCTCACACCCCTACTGTTAGAGGGTAAACATCCTGTGAGTGTCCCTGGCCCAAGTCCTGGAAGTGTTCCCTGGACAGGGCCTGCCTCTTCCCTGCAGTGCTTGTGACCTTCATGGCCTTTGCCGACTTGTAACCATTTCTGGGTTTCTTTCAGCCATCGCTGTTAGCCTTCAAACTGTTTGAATGCCTTCTTTGACTTAAGTCTTTTGAGTTGACCCTCCAAGGGTCCTGTTTAGCCTTGGCAGCTATTGAGGAGCCTTCATGAAGGCTCTAGGACCTACTAGAATGGCCTCAGCAAAGCATGCAGTGTTGCACAGTTGCACAGCCATGCTACACATTTGGTGGCATTGGCTGGTCTCACAGTATCTGTGGGAAACTGAAAACATGTATTTAGCCATCTCTCTGCCTTCTATGTTTCAAAGGATCTTCAAACGTTTCCCACAGACCCTGTTTTTCTAGTTTTCTGTTGCTTTCACTCATTCTCTGCATCTTTCTCCATTGCCCATGTGCTACCAAAAATCTGGAATTGAGGGGAAAAAAAATGGCCACTGTTAACTTCCCAGCCTTTTCTTTGATTGATTGACTGATTGATTGCTTTTGGGTTTTTGAGGCAGGGTCTCATTTATCCCAGGCTGGCCTTGAACTCATTATGTTACTGAAAATGACCTTGAATTTCTTATCCTTTTGTCTCTGCCTCCAGAGTGCTAAAATTATAAGCATGTGCCACACTATACCCGTTTTTATGCAGTGCTAGAGAATCAAACCCAGGACTAAAGCGCTCTATCCACTGAACTCTGAATATATTCCCAGCCCGTTCTGTTGCTGCTGCTGTTGTTTTTATTTAACCAGAACACACTTTCCTTCTAACTCACAATCTGTCACACCATCCATTGATTCAAGACAAGTCCACTGGGCTCCCGTCTGTGGCCTATCTAGAGAGAAACAGACTGCCTTTAGGGTATTGTTGCGGGCTCAGAGCTGAGGGGCTTGACTTGAAGCACTTTCAGTTTTGTTCTTGGCCAGGTGGCTGTAACCCTTATTTTTTCACTAGGTATCATTGGTGGATTGACCAGTGTTATAACCTCAACAGTAGAAGGTGTGAAGACAGAAGGGGGTGTCAGCGGCTTCATATCTGGCCTTGGCAAAGGACTTGTTGGTACTGTGACCAAGCCAGTGGCAGGTGCACTGGATTTTGCATCCGAAACAGCCCAGGCGGTGAGAGACACAGCTACACTCAGTGGTCCCAGGTCAGTGATCATGTGGTAAGGGGTCTTCAGTTTTGAGCCCAGGCCTGAGGCTCCTCTAATCCACAGTGATGTGTTTAATGATATGCTTTCTACCTTAGTTATATGCTGTATGATATGAATACATATAGTAGAAATGCTTGACCCGCCTAGTACAAAGATAATGAGAACCAGAAACAACACAACCTCTCAGCATGAAGGACTGATAGGACACACTACAGTCTCAGTTCTTGGGAGGTAAAGGCAAAGGACCAGGAGTTTAAGGACATAGACAGTTCACGGTTAGCCTGGGCCACACAAAACTGTCTCACACTCCTACCCCCACCCCCACAAGATGGCATGGATTTATCCATAAATAGGTAAAGTAATATTATGTTTGATTTTTTTTGTTTGTTTTGTTTGTTAGAGAGGTCAAAAATAGGATTGTATCATTATGAACTTCCCAAACTAACTGTACCTGCTAAGCCTGTCAGTTTACTGCTAACTGTCTTCACTCTTAGACCCAATGTAGATCTAGAATCCATGCAGTTGTGGTTCACCATGTGGATTGTTCCTTCTTAGTCTTCCTTCTAGTCAAAAATGCCAGCCAGTCCTCCAAGCTCATGATGAGAAGCTGTCCCTGCTCCCATAAGCAAGTTTGTGGCTCTGCTGTGGGATGCTGTCTTGTCCTGACACCAGCTAGGACTAGAAATCAGAGAATGCCCAAGCAGCTCCAAATCCCACAGAACCTAGCCACTTAAACTTAGGTATTTGATTAATGGCCTGTTTTTAGCCTTCCTTCTCCAAAGAGACCAGTTGAGGCTACTTATCAAAAAAGGGTGTGATAAGGGCTGCTGTTCTGAGCTGGGCTGGATTCCACTAAGTCCAGAGGGAGTTCACTGCTGCCTTGGTGGTTGGGTGAAGTAGTGTGCCTGTTAGAAGGCTAGGCTAGGTCATGCCCACACTCTGTTGCTCCCTCAATATGACTCAAATGAAGTCAGCCCCAATTAAAATGAATCCCTTTGTCACCAGAGAACCTCACCAGTGACACGTTGCTGCAGTGGGAAGTACTTAAGATTATAGACCTGGACTGTGCAGTGTGTTCTGCCAGAATATCTTCCATCTGGAAGCAGCTGCTCTAAAAGGAGGGGGGTGGTGAGGGGTGAGGGCTGTGGAGTTTACTTTAGTTAAGCTACATTCTATTCTCAGATACAAAGCTGAAACAGCCCTGGAGTATGTTTCGAGGCATGCATGCCATAGTGAGGAGGGGTGGGCAGTAGAGAGACCTCCAGAAAATTTCCAATCAGGTTTTTATTTCTGTTCAAAGCCCGAGAAGTCCACCTCAAACAGCAAGGCCTAACAGAGTATAAGGACAAATGCAGACCCCTAAAGAATTCCCCAAGAACTATTCTTATTTTTAAAACCCCAAAATGAAATTGGTCTATTTGCTCAAAAAGATTTAAGTAGGGGATGGAGACATGACTCACGGGTTAAAAGTGAGTACCACTCTTGCAGAGGACCAGAGTTGGTTCCCAGCACCCATGTTTGGTGACTCACAACCACCTCTAACTCCAGCTTCAGAAAACCCAGTGCCCTCTTCTGGCCTCCATGAGCCTTGCACTCACATGTGCATGGGAACCCCCCACACGCACCCACCTAGACATACACATATAATTTAAAAATAAAAATAAATCTTAAATAAAAAGTTATTCTATGCTTTAAAGGTTAATGGTGTTGACTAGAAAGAAATCGTTTGAACTTTTGTGTGCTGCCACTTTGGAATCCTCCATGAGGTTTTGTATCCTTTCCAGGAGCATAAGTCATGGCACCATGGTAGCTGCAGGAATAGAAATATTCTTGTCATTTTTACTAGTTGATCAGCATTTCCACAGAAAGTTTGATTTAGTGTCATCTAGTCATTCATCCATTTCTAGTCAGTAAATGATTGAAATTTCCTGTGAACTCTAAGCTGGGGATATAGCAGGAAATAAGACTGTCCCAAACTGAGGATTAAATCAGGGCAGCAGACTTCAAACAGCCATATAAAGGCCAGGTGTGGTGGCACACAGCCTTAATCCCAGCACTCGGGAGGCAGAGGGAGGTGGATTCTACCAACCTGGTCTGCAAGAGAGTTCCAGGTCAACCAAGGCTACAAGGAGACTCTGTCTCCAAAAATAATAATAATAATAATAATTATATATATATGTGTGTATACATACATATATATATATATATAAATCATTAATTGCAAAATGATGCTAGATGGCCCCAGAAGGTACAGTGATGGGTCTGATCAGAGGTCATGGGAGCAGGAGGATAACCAGCCTGGGGCCTGAGGAGTCAAGATGTGTTATTCTTCTGGAGATGGAAGCTGAAGTGCAAGTGAGATTGACCAGGCAAAGAGAAGAGGGAATCCTTTCCAGATACAAAGGAACCACCCAGAGCAGACCACTTGTAATGAACTCACTGAGCCGCAGGCGCTGCCCCAGGCCTCTCCCTGACCTGTCCCACTCATCTTTGAGCTTTATGGGCAGGTGGTTCAGAAAGTCTTGGGGGTCTATCCATAGCCATACAGCTGGCTGGAAATGGTAAAGCCAGGCTCAGGCATCCTACCTCCTGACCCCAGCCCAGCCTCCCACCTCAACACTTACTTTAGAAACAAGCCGCAGAGCTCAGTGAAGAGTGTGTGGGCCTGTGGACATCAGCCACTCACAGGAGGGGTTATCTAGCTTCTGCTTGTCTCTCAGCTCCTGTGGGGCCCATGAGTGGGAACACCATGCAGCCATGCCCACTGTGGATCAATCACAGTGTCCTTTGTTGCACTGAAAAGGTGGGATAGAATCTTCTGAAGGGCCAGGCAGTAGCCCTTTCACCGGTCTCCCTTTGTGTGTTTGTCCAGGTCCAGGTTATTAATGAGAAGCCATATGTTAAAGAGAGGAGAGCACTTGACCCAGAAAACAGTTGATCAGAGTCCCAACCCCTTTACTTACTATCCCTGTGCTTTTGGTCAGATCTCTAGCCTGTCTATACCTCAGCTTTTTTCAACTGTAAATGAGAGATTAGATATACCTGTTAATTGTACAAAGTATTGCTCTGAACTCACTGAGCATGTTTGGTTTGACCTGAACCTTTAAGGAATTTCCAGAGAGCAAAACTGAATTCTACCTCTCAAGGGTTTAAAGCCCAACCAGAGTTATTTTAATGTACAAGCTATGAAGAGCTACAGAAAGACTGGGCAGTATTGTGTTCAGGTCATGTTAAAGGAACACAGAGCTCCCTGCAGGTGGAGAAATGTGTCCTTGTCTCCAGGGTTGCTCCGATGACACCAAGTTCTCTCTGGAACATACTGACTCTACCCAGGATAAATGATCCCAGCTTCTTGGAAGTGAGCTATAACCATCTCCAACCATCCTGGTTGATTGAACAAGATCCAAGGGTGTTACTCAGGGTTTTTCCCTGCTGTTTAGACAACAGAGACTAACAAATGGTTTGAAGGGATTAGAAGTGAGATTCTGACCGAGGACTGACCTGAGCCCAGGGACCACGCCAGGAATAGAACCCAAGAGTCCAAGAGTTCTGCCTCTGAGTCTGCACTTGGAAGAGATTTTCTGTTTCCTTTGCCATATTTCATCTAAGCAAAGGCTTAGATCTTAGCATCTATGTTTTAAATGACCCAACTTTTGACCAGATGATAGCAAAATAAGCTATAAAACTGTGAAAGAATACTCCTTCCAGTAATCCATCTGAGTTGTAGTCTTACAGGAAACACTGGCTTCTTTTTGTGTTTATTTGAACACAGTCATATTTATAGGGAACCCGCCTCCTTATATTCTTTCAGATTAAAATACTTCCAAGTAAGTTCCTCTCCTTGTCAGAGTGTGTGGGCATTCCAGACAGACAGCTACCCAACTTCTTCCAATGTTTCCATGCAATCGAATAGTCCTTAGGAGGACAGGTAGGGGTGGAGAAAAGAGTGGAGGACAGCAGAGCCTCTGGCCCGGGCATCCATGTCTCTGACTAGCATCCCCCACTACATTTGTTAACTGTGTCGTATATGTGGTTTGGAACCAAAACAGGAAGCTTTTTCCAAGACAGTGTTCTGCTGGCTCAGGTTGCGTCTTCTAGTCTACATGTATTAAGCCATATTTGTCTGTTCCCAAGTAAAGTTTATGAAAATGGCAGCAATGCAGCCACACTTGTGGTACCAGACTCTATATGAAAGAGCCTGTTGCTCTCCCAAGCAGACCAGGCCGAGCAGGACAGACAGCCATGCGAGTGCTCGGTTCTCTGCACAAGTGCAGCAGTACTGAGAGCAGTATTGGGAGAGACTGGTAGAGAGCTGCAGGGCCTGGGGAGCCATTTCACAGCAAGGCAGCACTGCCCTGGAAGAGAGGAGCATTTGCCCTCAGCCCACGCTCACTTTCTTCTCCTCCATGTGCTGCAGACTTTGGGGAGCACAGCCTGCACAGAAAATAGCAGACAGATTTATGATGCTGGACCCTGTGGTTTCCTGCAAAATATTTCTTTAACTTTTTAGTCAAAACCAAAAAGGCAGGAGAAATGGGAGTTGGCAGAACTTGAAATATTTAAACCTATTTAGCAAAGCCCAGGAGTGTTGGACTTATCTGGTTATTTAGGTTAGATAAGGAGAAAGGGGGATTTGAAGGATGATGATAGATCGGTGTTTAAGGATATAGCCATCAGGATGATGATGTTTAGGAATCCCAGGACCCCTGTACTGTGCCCAGAGGTAGAAATTCCAGTTGCTTGAGAGCTTTTGGGTAAGCCCTGGGCTGATTTCGGAAAGGATTTATGTGGGGCATATTTGACTTTTTTCAGTAAAAACATTCCCAAGACACCACCCAAAATTTATTAATGACACTCTTAATGGTTTCTTGGATGGGAAACTGAAACTGCCTTAAGGAAAAGCCCTTTGGGGTACAGTGCTTTGCACTTTCGCCCTGACTCAGGATAAATGGGAAGGACCCTCTTGGGTCATAGAGCAGTCAGATTAGATGGGCCAC